TATTCTATATTCTACATTTCATGTCAAACATGTGATGTTGTTTGTACTTGGTAATACACGTGTACCGGCGTACGTATGTACCAGTGAGAAAGCAGTGAGACTGAAAGATCGGTCTTTATGTGAGTCACTTGTTGGCAACGTTGAAATGGAGTACCGGCAAGGGTACCGGTATCGATTTGTCACTTGTATCTTCGCAGTCACGAACAGTGTTTCAGTCTCGTCTAAGTACGAAAGACGAGGGGCATATATGTCCATCCGCCGCGCGTCGATCATCAACAAATCATCGCACAGGCAAATAATTATAGCACATACGCATATTGTGTGCTTTGTCTCTTTCTTCTGCTTTGAAAATGACGGGTCCTGTATTTCCTCACCGTGACACTCGGAGAACTGTCTGAAACCTAAAGTGCCGAAAGTTTCACTCTCCGTTGGGAAAGCTAGGCTTCGGAGATTTCCAAATGGAAGGAGTGTTACGGTGAATGGGAATAACCTATATACATACCTCACCGTCATGAATGCGAATGAATGGATCTCGGACGATTGGTTTTACGGCAACGCCAATTGAGGTAAACCGGAGAAGGATCCAGGGAAGTCAAGACTTTCTCACTTCAGCTCCACTGTTTTGTTTCCAACCGATGTCGTCGAACAGTGAGATCGTGAGTGGAGTGTCTCAAATCAAAGCGGTAGGAGAATGCTTTCTTTCTCCGACAGTTGACTAGAGCCACTGAATGGAACAAGCTTCGACAAGATGCAACAGGAACATATTGCTCACAAATCGAGGCAGTTTCGATTCCGATAAGGGAAACTTGATAGCATCGCTCTACGTCTGCAATTTCAAACAAGACAAGATTCAATCAACCATGAAACGAATTTCAGCGATATGGCTTACTGCACCTTTTCTCATGACAAATGCGGACCCGGGTATGATTCAAGGGCACCGTCGACTTCGTCGTCATGCTCATGCTCATGCTCATTCAGTCCATATACCAACTTATTCCATAGATGAGGTAAGCTGCAAGCACTTGCTCCATTGATTATGTCTTTTACTTTTTTATATTCATCCCTTCTTCATATGATGATTGATTCATAACAATATTGATCCTCGCCTACAGGCCGAGGAGTTTGTGGTCCGTACGCTTCACAGTCAGGGATTTTCCATCGCACATTCTCCAGAACCAACAACCCCCAGTGGCAGCAATGATACACCATCCCAACAGCCAACCAGAGTCGTTGGTTCCAATGATCATGACTCAAGCGGCAGCAATGACATGCCATCCCAACAGCCAACAAGCGGTTTGGACGCATAGTTGCTTTCTTTTTTCGCATCCATGACGACAGGATGTCCACTATAACTCGTACCACTATAGGTGATGACTGCGAGCATGATGGAACACCAACATGGAACCCTCTGCTGGTTAACTTTACAAGTGAACAGCCACGAATTTCGTCGTAACCTAGATCTGTCCATTTTCACATCTCATCGTCAGTTTCACCAGCAATATACCATATACTTGCAATGATCCAAACTCGAACCGAGTTCCTCCAAGAGACGTTGGAAATTCCTTCGAGAGAGAAGCAAGGCAAATTTGGAATTCGGATATTTCGTCTACGAGAAGCAAAGATCAAACCAATGTATACTCGGCGAATGAATGAATGAAGAATGGTGATATGGAATAAAAATAATAGCTATGTACATTAGTGCTTGTTTTGCGAATGAATGAATGTATACTTCTAGTACATGGCTGATTGTGCAGAGTAGATTCATTGCTGCAGCGCGTGATTGGCATTGGGATTGCCGATGTTGTGATCGTCCTCAAAAACATCCTCGTTCAACATGTCCAGCACTTCATCCAATATTTCAATCATGATGGCTGTTCGATCTTCAGGTGAATCCATCGGCGTGGCTCTTGCACGGTGGGTAAAGAACATGGAGTCGGAAGTTGGCATCGTCATGAGCATGGAATCTAGTGATATTGGGCTACTTGGGCGTGATGACAATTGTTTCGAGTTGCTGGATTGAGTCATGATGATGTTGTTTGCGATGATTGTGATATTACTTCCTTGTTTTGAGATTTGTGAGCTGCCATACGGTGGGAGCAACAATTATTATTCCAGTACCGGTAGGTCCCAAGCGAACTTTTGAATAGAAAGAAACGCTTATAGGGTACGGACGAACTTTTACACCAAAGAACATAAATTTGCAAAATGGATTCCGATCGGAATCCAAAAAACGCAATGTCGGTCTCATTTTGTGACGTGATCAGTATCTGATCAGATAAAATAGTGCTGTGCAGTTCTTGACTTTTTGTTAGGTAATTTTGATATTCTCCCGGGGCTACAATGATCCAATATATATGAAAGAAGCAAAAACGACGGGATGTGGCTTAAATTTCGGCAAATACTATCTGATCAGGTTTGTCGAACCGTCCTTCACTGTCTTGTAAAACGTTGCGCTCCTAATATCAACGCGTCTCCATGATTTCGGAGCACGAAGGTTCTTTACTTATTGTTAGTACATGTACCGGTATAATACCACGTATATATATAAACGGAGGAACAATTGGGCTCACGGCTCGCACCCTCTTCTCCATTCTCGTCGAACTAGTACTATTACCCCAGTCATTGTAACCACAGTGTTAATTGATTTTATAGCTATCGTGCACCCACCATCTCCTTTCGGTCAGAAGGTGGTGCGTAAGCAAGGATATAAAAAAGACAAAAGCTATTTTGCAACCATCGCATCAAGAGCCCTTTCCAAAATAAGACGATGCGTGTCCATCAAATAGGGATGAGCCATCATCATGGTTCATACGGCACCTATAGTACAGTATAACTATTCAAAAACAGTCCAACCATGGATTCATCTTACTCGACGCCGTTAACTGACCTTAGATGTAGCAGCTCTCCGCCGCTTCGTCCTCGTCAGCAGCAAAAGAAGGCGCTTCCTGAGATTGTGTTTGCAACGCCGCAGTCGTGCTGCCATACTCTTGTTTCCATGTCCACGATTGGAGATGATGATATCGATTCTATGTTTGAATCTCCTGGAACGACGTTTTCACCAAAAAGCTTCAACAGCGATACAAGGAACAGTAGAGCAAGTGCAAGTAGTGGTGTTGAAACAATTCTCTTACAACAAGTAGACTTGCCAAAGAAGAATGGGAAGAGACACACAAGAAGGACCATTGCTCTTGGGGACGAGGAACGAAATTCCTCCATGCCCATCTTCAAGCCCCAAAGGAGAAAGTCCATGGAATACTCTGCTCCGATGGAATCTGCATTAGACGCTATCTCGTTTGACGTTGTGCCATCAGAGGCGGGTGACAAGATTTTGGTGGATGGAGGTTATGAGAGTGACGCTCCAGAGAATTGTGATGAGGCTTCCACCGTTTCCATACCGTCTGCAAGTGCGAAATGGTCTTCTCCTGTGACTACCGAGAGCCTGAAGAAACCAATGCGAAAGTCGAGCATTGGTTACAATCGTCCCCGTTCTCCGTATCCATCTTCCGCCCATTCCAGATCCACACACTCGAGAAGCAGGACATGAACGTGAGGATAAAGAATCAACAATACCATTGCAACACTTATTGAAATTGATACTACATGGCTGTTGGTGTGTCCTCGACGATCAGACTACTAATAGTATCGCAGAAAGAAGCAAGTGACCCCTGGCTGGGCTCCCCTTCTTGATAGGTGAGCATGCATATCAATCATGCGCTTAATGATCGTTTTGCGATGCACAAAGACACACAAGACTTATCGTGCAAAGGCGATTCCTCCACTAAAGGATTGATTTAAGGA